TTTTTTTTTTTTCATTTGCTTCAATTTATGGCACAGGACATAAACAGCTATGCAGAAGGCCTGCAAAACTATAAAAATCCTGATGCTCCCACAGCAAAAGAAAGAGGGACCACAAGAAGAAGTTACTTTCACTACAGTTGGTTGCCTGCCTTCCATTAGCAGATGTCTGCTAATTGAACCATAGCCTATGAAACTTGTGTATTCTATCTTAAGAAGAGATCCACTGCGGTGGTCCCTGTAGCTTAAGTGGCTAAAGTGCTAGCCACATACACCAGAGGTGGCAGGTTCCCATCTGACCTGGGCCGGCCAAACAGTGACAACCACAACCAAAAAATAGTTGGGCATTGTGGTGGATGTCTGTATTCTCCGCTACTCAGAACACTGAGGCAAGAGAATCATTTAAGCCCAGGTGTTTGAGATTGCTATGAGCTGTGATGCTACGGCACTCGACCCATGGCTATAGTTTGAGGCTGTCTCCAAAAAAAAAAAAAGATCCACTGAAAGGTAAGGAAGAGGGAGCAAAGTGGGGGTAAAGGGCTGATGGCTCCTAGGCTATGTTCAGTACTGACTTCTGAGTTTCAGACCAAATTCACAAATCCTATACTGCAGCCACAACTAAATATTCTGCAGAAAAGTTAACATGTTGAACTCATAGCCCCATCTTACACACTTCCATGTGCTCACATATGCAGAGATTAGAAACCACCAAATATGTGGTTCCTTCTGTTTGTCTCGGAAAGCTATCACTTATCTTGTGTCATCTCCATCACAATATTAATACATCCAATTAGTTGCTATAATAACTTACAATTTTTTTGATATTTCACAATATTTCTAGGAACTTTTAAATTTTTTTTTTTTTTTTTTGAGACAGGATCTTGCTCTTGCTCAGGCTGGTCTCAAACTCTTGAGCTCAGGCACTCCACCTTCCTCGACCTCTCAAGAGTGCTAGGATTGCAGGCATGAGCTACTACATCTGGCCTTTAGGAACTTTTTCATATACGAAGATACTAGCTTTGCCAGGCAAGGAGCCCAAGTTGAGGGTGCTGTGAGCTGTGACACCAGGGCATTCTTTTGAATGCCTTGGTGTATTCTTCTGAGGGCAACAAGTGAGACTCAGTCTCAAAAAAAAAAACACTAATAAAAAAACATGAGAAACAAGGCTAGTGGCTCACACCTGTTATCCTAGCACTTTGGAAGGCTGAGGCGGGAGAATCTCCTGAGCTCGGGAGTTCCAGCCCACCCTGAGCAAGGAAGAGACCCCCATCTCTACTAAAAATGGAAAAATTAGCCAGACTTTGTGGTAGGTGCCTGTAGTCCCAACTACATGCAAGGCTGAGGTGAGAGGACAGCTCAAAGTTGGAGAGTGCTGTGAGCTATGACAACACAGCACTCTACCCAAGGCAACAGAGTGAGACTGTCTTAGACAAAAAAGAAAAAAACAAAATTTCCAACCACTATCCACAAAAAATATGGAACGCTTCACGCATTTGCATGTCATGCTTGTACAACAGCCATGCTAATCTCTGTATCATTCTAATTTTAGTATATGTGCTGCTGAAGCAAGCACAAGTTCTATGCAATTTATCTTTACCTCTTCCAAATTGATTCCTCTATTTTTTCTTTCT